CCACCACGTGGCTGTCATCAATCTTCCCCAAGTAATGCTTCACACGATGCCCATTGACCCGGAATACTTCACCATTTTTGTTTTTGAGATCAAGAGCACCAAAAGGAGTCACAAATACCACTTCAAAAGGGCCACTCCACTTAGACTTGAGCTTGACCGGAAATAACCTCAACTGGGAATTGAAAAGAAGAACCATATCACCAACTTTGAATTCCTTTCCCCGAGCATATTTGTCGTGAAGGTACTTCATCTTGTCCTTATACAAGGACGAGCTGGAGTAGGCATGAAATCTAATCTCATCAAGCTCATTCAATTGCTCCACACGGAGATTGGCTGCAACATCCCATTCCAAGTTCAACTTCCTCAACGCCCACATAGCCTTGCGCTCAAGTTCCACCGGAAGATGGCAAGCCTTACCAAACACCAAACGATACGGAGACATACCAATTGGAGTCTTGTAAGCCGTCCGATAAGCCCAAAAAGCATCATCCAATTTCTTTGACCAATCGGTCCTATTAGCATTTACCGTCTTGGACAAGATACTCTTGATTTCCCGATTTGAGACTTCCACTTGACCGCTGGCTTGTGGATGATAGGGGGTGGTCACTTTGTGGTTGACTCCATACTTAGCAAGCAATGAGTCGAAAGCCTTGTTGCAAAAATGGGACCCCCATCACTAATAATGGTCCGAGGAGTACCAAACCTCGTGAAGATACTCTTTTTCAAGAATGCTACAACACTTCGGGCTTCATTGTTGGGTAAAGCCACGGCTTCCACCCATTTTGAGACATAATCCACCGCCATGAGAATATAAGTGTTACCACAAGAGCTCACGAACGGACCCATGAAATCGATTCCCCAAACATCAAAAATATCCACCTCGAGAATCGTATGAGGGGCATCTCATCCTTCTTTGAAATACCGCCAGCTCTTTGATATGCATCACATCTCTTCACCAAGTCACTAGCATCCTTGAACAATGTCGGCCAATAGAATCCGCAACTCAAAACTTTTGAGGCCGTCCTCACCCCCCATGATGGCCTCCATAGGGAGAAGAGTGACACGCCTCCAATATGCTTATTTGCTCACCTTCCAGTACACATCTTCTTATCACCCCATCCGTGCAAATTTTAAACAAATACGGATCATCCCAATAGAAATCCAAGCTATCCCGCTTGAGTTTCTTACTTTGGGTGGAAGAGAGCTCACACGGGACATTACCAGTCACAATGAAGTTGGCGATGTCCGCGAACCATGACATATCACACATAGAAATGGAAAGAAGCTGCTCGTCGGGGCATCTATCATTAATCTCAATACCATCACATGGTCTCCCCTCTTCCTCTAACCGGGACAAATGGTCCGCAACTTGATTCTCGCTTCCCTTTCTATCCACAATCTCTAGGTCAAATTCCTGAAGGAGTAGCACCCACCTCATCAGTCTTGCTTTCGAATCCTTCTTCACCACTTCTTGCATCACCTTATTTAATCTTCTTTGATGCTCAAGAGATGGCCTTGCATCCTCCTCCAAAATGATCTTGTGCATGCAAAATGCGGGGCTTATCCCCCGAATATCGGCCAATGCTATCCAATCGCCTTTTTGCGCTTTTGAAGAACCGCCAAAGTGGCATCAACCTGCATGTTAGTTAGGCAAGAAGAAAGAATAACAGGTAAAGTAGAATTTGAACCCAAAAACTCATACCTGAGGTGTGGAGGAAGTGGCTTCAACTCCAACACCGGTGGCTCCTTAATCGATGGCCTGGTAGGTGGAGTTTTGTGATTTTCAAGATCCAAAGATAGCTTCCTAGGCTCATATGAATATGAACCCATACCATGCAATGCATTCACGCACTCCACTCTACCGACATCATCATCATTGACATCCATATTAAGAAGCACTGCCTCAAGAGGATCTTCAACATTTATCAAGGAACTTGTGTCATCTACTATCACAGCTGTGACAATGTCCACAAATGAACACACCTCCGTGCTGTTGGGTTGTCTCATTGATTTGCACACATGAAATACCACTTTCTCATCACCCACACGGAATGTCAACTCCCCTGCTTCCACATCAACCAACACCTTCCCCGTAGCTAGGAAAGGTCTTCCAAGAATGATTGGCACCTCAAAATCCACTTCGCAATCTAATACCACAAAATCCGTCGGCAATATGAACTTATCAACACGAACAAGAACATCATCGATTATGCCCAAGGGACGCTTCATTGATCGGTCCACCATTTGAAGTCGCATGGAAGTTGGTCTCGGTTGACCGATCCCCAAGGTCTTGAAAACGGAATATGGCATCAAGTTAATACTAGCCCCCAAGTCAAATAGGGCTTTAGCAAAATCCGCACTACCAATAGTGCACGGGATAGTGAAAGCACCTGGATCCTCGAGTTTTGGGGCCATAGAATGAACAATAGAACTCACTTGATGCGTCATTTTAATTGTTTCACACTCCATCGACCTCTTCTTGGTTACCAAATCCTTCATAAATTTTGCGTACCCCGACATTTGTTCAAGGGCTTCCACCAATGGCACATTTATAGTAAGACTCTTCATCATTTCAATGAATTTTTTGAATTGGTTGTCTCCTTTTTGCTTTGCTAATCTTTGCGGGTAAGGTGGGGGTGGCCTAGGCACGGGTGCCTTAGCCTTGGGTACCGCCGGCTCGGGTATATCAATAATGTGTTCCCTAGACGTGTTCACGGCATCTTGAGTCTCTACCCCGGCCTCATCATCAATATCAATCCGCACATCATTTGTCACTATTGGTTCAACCACATTGTCAACATTCAAAGGCACATCATCATCATGCGACTCTTCATCATTCACAACTCGATTCTCATCTGAGGCATACACATCACCGCCTCTCCCACTCCTAGTTGTAACTGCCATCACATGATTGTTACCCCCTTCGGGTTCACTACCGTGTCACTTGGTAGCGCACCCTTAGGTCGGGTATTTAAGGCTTGAGAAATTTATCCTATTTGCACCTCTAGGTTCCGGATAGATGTGTTATGTGAAGCCAATTGTGCGTCAGAATCTTGGTTCTTCTTCATCATCTGCTCGAACATCATTTCTATCCGTCCCATATCACTCCCCGGAGAACTAGTCCCTTGTGATTGAAAGGGGGGTGGATTATTCGGTTGTTGGTACATGGGGGGCCTTTGAAAGCCTTGCCCCCGGTTGCCTTGATTGCCACTATTATTCCACCCGCCTTGATTGTTGTTACCCCAATTGCTATTGTTCCCATTCCAATTGCTTTGATTGTTATTTTGGTTCCCCCAATTGTTGTTTTGATTATTCCCGTTCCAATTTCCTCCTCCTTGTTGATTATTGTTGTTCCAATATCCGCCACCTTGTTGATTGCCCCAATTACCTTGGGGGTGCCATTGTTGATTTCCCTGATTTCCTCTATTTCCTTGGTAGTTATTGACATATTGGCATTCCTCACTTTGCTCATCATAGCACTCGTTCGAATAACCACCACCATCATTGTTGTTGTCAAACTGCTCACAATTACCTTGTTGTTGTTGTTGCCCCCTTTGCCCCCTTTTTAACATAGACACATTCTCCATTGCATTGACTTGGCGCGGGCTTTGAACTTGTTGCAATTGCGCCTTCGCCAATTGATTAATTGTTGTTGTAAGTTCGGCAATAGCTTGGCCATGGTCATTTAATTCCTTGTGCAAATGGATGACCGTGGGGTCACCTTGGGGCACATTTGCTCGGCTTTGCCATGCCGAAGAAGTGTCGGCCATTTCATCAAGGACATCACAAGCTTCTTGGTAAGAAAGTTTCATAAAGTTCCCACCGGCCAATTGGTTCACAATGCACTGATTTGTGGTGTTGATGCCCCTATAAAAAGTCTACTGGATCATCGCCTCAGTCATGTCATTGTTAGGGCACTCCTTCACCATTGTTCTATAGCGTTCCCAGATCTCGTGCAAGGGTTC